TAGATGGATGGACAAGCAAATTAAAACTTTTTCCTACTCAGGCCAGAGGTGTTAGGGGGAAAACAGCTTGTGCTGGGAACACAACCCTATCAGACCGCCCAGCCCCCTGCCACCACTGTGTTACTCATGTCTGGGCCTGTGAAATGAAGCACAACAGCAGCTCAGCTGTAAAATTTCTTCATTTCCTCCCCTCCAGGGGCCTCCGGCCTTCCCCAAACTTCGGGCCCCCCTTATTTTGCCAAGAATTAGGACTGCAGCCTCAGCCCCATGCAAAATCACCTCCAGACCCCAGGCCAGGGAGGGAGCCACAGAGTAAGTAGAGAGCGCAGCTGGGGTCCCAGACTCCTGGGTCTGAGGGAGGAGGGCATGGGGGCGGAAGGGAAACACTGGTCCTAAGAAGTCGACAGCCCCCCTCAAACTCTCCCCATTACAGAAACTCTTAAAGGGAAAGTCACCCCTCCAGCTGCCCCTGTGGGGCCCAGGATCGCTGCCCAGGCCTGGAGGCCAGGTGAGTCCCCCCACCCTGCCCAGCTTCCCTCCCTTGGTCTTCCCACCCCACCCCACCTGAATATGATACTATCTAAACCACCTCTCTTTCCACCTCATAGGGCACCAAGATCTGCTGCTAAAGGGAGCCCAGGGGCTGCGGGGCTGGAAGGGGTTTGTGAAGCCGGAATAAACTGCAGAGCCTCGGCTGTACTCCCGTGTGTGGAGCAAGAGTGCAGCGGCCACTAGGGGGCAGCTTGGCATCGGGAACATGCAGGCCCTGAGCCCCGAACCCCAAGCCCCACCTGGTTAACCCATGCATCTGGGATCAGAGAGCCAAGAATGGGGGACCTAGCTCCTCTGGATCCAGGAGTCTGCACCCCCAGCCTCCTCCCTCAGACCCAAGAGTTCAGAGTCCCAAGCTCTCAGAGAAGCAGGCAGCCAATCCCCTTTCCCCATCATGGCAAAAAAATTCCTGCAACCAGACCCAGGCATCCAAGTTCTAAGTCCCCTAGTCAAAAAAGACCCCACGTTTCCCTGAGAGTTATGTCCCCAGTCTTGCCACATCTGTCCTCATCCCTCTCTCTCTTTTTAGAATATACCTTTATTGATTTCAGGGAGAGGGAGAGAGAGAAACATCAATGATGTTTCATTGATCGGCTGCCTCCTGCACACCCCCTACTGGGGATTGAGCCTGCAACCTGGGCATGTGCCCTGACCAGGAATCAAACCCATGACCTAGTTCATGGGTCTACACTCGACCCCTAAGCCACGCCAGCCAGGCTCATTCCTCTCTCTTTATTCCTCTCTGGGATCCTCTCAGAGTAACAGTGACTTCCAGCCCAAATCAAGCTGGGAAAGTGTCTCTCACCTCCTCACTGAGGGAAGCCTCCCTCCATTAAGTTTAGAGCAGTCAGCATCCCCTGAGCCCCTGCCCTGTGCCCAGCCCCGGGCTGGACAATGCTAAGCATGAGGCAGTGGTCACTGCCCTCCTGGGAGGCAGACCTGTCCCCCCACAGTGGTGATCCAGAGTGGGCAGGGCTAGGATGAGGGAGCCCATATTGGGTAGCTGACCCAGCCTGGGAGCTCGAGGATGGCTTCCAGGAGGAAGGGATATCCAAGCTGAGACTGAAGAGATGAGGAGAAGGTGTTCCAAAGTAAATGGAGCTGAAAGTGTGCCTCACAAATTTAGTTTCAAGCAACAGAAGCCGCCTCTGGGGCAGAAAAGAAATTGATCGAGAGGACTTGGGATCACTCACAGAATCCTGGAAGTGATTAGAGAACCAGAATTGGAAAGCGAGCAGCAACACCGGCAGCTGGCCTCAAACCATGGCCCAGCCACGATCACGCCACAGAACCGGTCAGATGAGGCTGCAGTGGTGACCACTGGACATTTGTCATCTTGCCTCTGCTGCCCCAGAAGCAGGCAGTGTCTGCTAGCAGTTGCTCAGAACAAATGACACCGAAATTTACTGATGAACAACAAGAATCATTATCTCTAATGGGTGCTGTGGGCCAGGGTTTGGGGAAGAGCTTGACTGGGTGGTTCTGGCTCTGGGTGCAATCAAGTGGTACTTGGGGCAGGGCAGCTGGGGGCTGGGCAGGCGGCCCTCTGCAGTCTCGGGTCTCTTCATGTGCTTTCACACTTGCTAGTTGGGCTTCCCCACAGCATGACTGCCTCCAGGTAGTCGGACTGCTTATGTTGTGGCTGAAGGCATCCTGTGACCCAGGCAGAAGCTACATGGCTTTCCTACCTAATCTTGGGAGTCCCGTAGTGTCATTTCTGCCATATTCTATTGGCTACTGTGAGTCACACAACTGCACAGATATAAGAGGAGGGGACATTGACCCCACTTCTTGGTGGAAAGAGTGTCAAGGTCAGATGTTAGAAGAGCAGGTAGGGTGAGAGAGATTGTCGCAGCCATCTTTGGAAAATAGAATTTGTCCCAGCTGCTGTGGCAGGAACAGATTCGCCAGTCTCTGCTTCTTTGAGGTGATTAGCTCCTGACTACCAAGTAGAGTAGGATTTGCCAAGGTCACTTTAGCACCGACAGATGCAGAAAGGCAAACATGTCCTTGATGGCTTCAATAGAGGGCAACAGGCTTTCAGACAGCAGGGATTTTTTCCAACTGTGGAAAGGGGGTGCAGATGCTAGCTAACTGCCCCCCAAGACCACTACAGTCCACCCCTTTGAACACTCAATATCGATCTGTACCCTTTGTTCTATACTTCCATTCTATTATTACCTAAACTCCCTGCACAACTATTGTCCAACCAAAAATGCATTCACACTGCCCCCCACCCCCGACAACACGAATTCTCAAAAGTTACACTTCCCAGATGCCAGTCTGGAATCATTGGGGAAAAGCCATCACCCTTGAAATGTGTCATGCTTCTGTCTTCCATGAGCTGTGAGCTCATTTTCAAGTTAACGGTCATCACACGCTGCATGTAAAATAACGGATAAAGGTGGAGAAAAGATAAGGCTTGTTAATTAAAATGTATAAGCATGTGCACATGAGACACCAGGGTGGAATTGGATATTTAATTCATTGAATTTTTGCTCAGCTCCTAATGCCAAGCACTATCCTAGGCACTGGAAAAACTGAACAAAACCACTTACAAAAATATGTGGCAATAAGTGTCGTGAAAGAAAAATGTAAGATAAGGGAAATAGGAGTGGCTAGGAAAGCAGGAATTGCTATTTTAGGTAATAGGATTACAGGAAGCTCTTTCACAGGTAATCTTGATGAGATTTGAAGCTAGTATGTGGGGGAAAGAGTGTCCCAGCAGAGGGAATAGCAAGTGCAAAGGCCCTGAGGCTGGAACATGCCTGGTGGTAGAAGAACCACACAGACGCCAAGAGAACAATATGGCAAAAGCAGAGCTAGCAAGCGATAAAAGAGGCAGGGGGAGTCAGGGAGGTAACATGGAGCAGATCGAGGACCTGTGAGCCAGGAAGTGTGCTCAGTGAAAGGAACCAGGGGAGGATTCTGACTGAGCAGGGGTTACGTGAGTTGACTCATTTTAATGGCTGTTTTGTGGGAGGAAATTGTAGGGAACAAGGACAGATGATGTCACGGTACTAGTTTCTGCAAGTATATGGCTTGTATTTATGACTTCACTCCTTCAAACACACTCCATGTTCATCTTCCCTCTCCTAGGACCTCAACTGGTTGGGTTCTTGAGGAACATGGAAGGGGGTGGCTGATGACCTAGAGGTGCCTACTAGGGTCAGCCCAAGCAGCAGATGCCCAAGTCAGGGCAGAAGAGCTGGGGAGTGGGTTTCTGGGGTCACAACGTGTGAGCTGGTCTGGGAGTGCAGCTGCATTTGCCCACGAGGGAGTTTGTATCTATGGTCCAGTCTGGGTGGGGTCTGCATGTGAGCCTGTGTGCTCGAGTCTGAGCCTTGCAAACCTTCCTGAGCGCCTGCTCTGTTTCTTGCCTTGTACTGGGGACGCAACACTGCCCAAGACAGCTCCTGGCCTTACCCGCATGGGCTCACAGTCCAGCGGGGGGGACAGGCCTATCCCCAGACAAGGACGACCCAGAGTGTGCAGGATGGGGGTTGGGGAGCCCTAGGGATTGTGGGAGCCCAGAGGAAGCGCCTGACCCAGTGGGGGCGGCAAGGGGGGGTTAGGGAGGTTGGGCAGGGGGTGTGTCCTGGAGGAGGGAACGGTGCGGCTGATACTAAAAGGTCACCTCTCCTGGTATAACAATTGCTCTCCTGTATCACCGATGGATAAAGGAGCTTTGCCCAGTCCGACTCCCAGGTGGACCTGTAATCTGAGCCTTCCCTCTGTCTGATGGGCAAGGCCCAGTCTTACCAGTGACCCCCCATTCTGACCAGTATCCAGGGCTTAATTTCTCCCTGGTAACCAGTGACCTCTCCTGACCCCCTACCTCTCGGCCAGCAGTCTGGGGATTTTGCCCCAGTCAGACCTGGCTTGTGAGGAGCCTGGGTACTCTGATCTGTGATTCTGTGTGACCTGTCACCCTTCCTCGGGACCCATGGACGCGCCCTGCCCCTCTTCCCTCAGGTGCCCTGTTCTCCCCTCTCCCACTCACCTGCTGCTGCCAGCCTGCTTCTCCCCTCCCCCCAAGGTAGGGAGGGAGTGCAGGGAAGAGTGAGGGAGGAAGGGGGGTGGCATTCCTGGGATTCCCTGGATGGGGGAAGAGAGAGGGCCCTACCAGAGAGAGCCAAAGAGAGAGCACCTCACACACACACGCTGGGCAGAACTGGAGTTTGGAGACCATTAAATAGGAGATTAAACCCAAGGGTTCCAGGCCAGCAGGCAGGCAGGAGAGGCGCGCAGAGCGCCGGCCACAGGAGAGGGCGCCCGGGGCACTGGGAGAGGCTGTTCTAGGCCACTGGTCAGGCTGGGCGCCGCCGGCTGTGCCGAAAGAGGCCAGCGCCGGTGCTGGGGTCAGCTGGGTCACATCCAGCAGGCCCCTGCTCAGGAGGGGACGAGGGTCCGCGGTGGGTGGTAGGGTCCAGCCGAAGACGCACTGGCCGGACCGGTCCGGCAAGGCGCCGGGCACGGGGGCCGGGGTGCTGCGGAGCCTGAGCCGCAGCCCGGGGCGAGGGGCCGAGGGAGCATGGCTCCGGACTGAGCGCTGGGAGGTCCTCCCAGGGCAGCG